ACGGGCAGTGATATCCAGTGATTGCAGTACGGCGATACTGAATGTTGTTGTTTTGCCTGTGCCCGACTGTGCTCTAAAAATTGCAACTGGGGAGATGCGTTTTTGTTTGTGAAAACCCTCACAATGCAACACTATGAGGGAGACGCACTCACAGCAGAAAGTGTGATAGCAACAACTTTCTGACAAGGCCAACAATGGAACCCAAGTTCAAAAGCTCGTGAAGGTTTTCATTAGCAAAACCATCACCATCGCAAACGAAGTTTCCAATGTGGTTAAACTGCTGACTTCGACGTGCACTTCCTTTACTTCCACTACAGGAAATCCGCCAACAGTGCCAAGTGTATGAAGCGAGCAAATTTGCCAAGTGTATGTTATGGGCAGAACACTTTTATAATGGCTGAACTAGTGACTTCTACCAATCATTCCCTCAGCCTGAGTTGAACAGGATCGGAACCCCCCCCCCCCTTACACTGACAATTAACCCAGAGAGTAATGGCCGTTAGGAAGGAGGAGGCACAGACAACATCTGGATAAATCAGGGAGCCATGAAACGGCTGGGGACTATAACCTAAGACGGTTTGTTAGCTCCACGAAAGCGCGAAAAACGGAACTGACTAACATCAGCGTAAAAAAAAACTGCTTGTAATATTCCAAAAAAAAAAAAAATTTACTGTGCAATGACATCTCTGCCCCGTATCATTGGCTTAATGGCACGTTGCTGTATCGCCGACGGTTTTTCAAATCCTGAAATTTTCAAATTTAACGCAAAAGTGATCGACTGAGATGCAGCATGTCACATTTACTTTGCGATCTTTTAATGAAAACACTAACTTCAGGATTGTTCGAGTAACAAAACTGCTCGGATTTCGTTGGCGAATTCCGATGTATCAAAGGACTAGCCTCAGCTGAATCGAGTCAACGCTAGCAGTAGATTTAACAAGGTTTTGAACAGTCTTCAGTCGATGAAATATGGAAAGTTGGTAAACCAAATTCGTAAATTCTTAGTAATGAGAAGCGCCAAAATACTCACGATAGGTCGCTCTACAAAAGCAATCAGATATCCCCTCGTTGTTCGA